TAAGCTCTGGCGGACTTGGTTCTATGGTAGGTCTTAAAGGGTTAAATATATAACGTTGGTACGTGTATTCCGTTACTCCCCAACACTGCTAATGGTCATTGATTAGTGGTCTTTGACCAATGAGCTTTGATCAGTGGTTGTGGATCAATGGTTAGGGGAATTTACATATTAATGATCAAGGAACTGACCTCCCAGCCCATTGTTCATGGAGTGGTGCTAGTTTCAGTCATTATGCAAATGTTATGTTTATAAGATTGGGGAAACCTGCAGTCATCTGAGACTGAAGAAGTTACTTGGATGAGTGACAAAACATTTCTCCCACTAAAGATGCTATGTCCAGGTAAACAGAATCAACTTTAGGGGATTTACTTACCTGGATGATTGAGCATGCATCAAGACATATTACAGAAATACAATGACTGACAGAGGACTTGCATCTATTATGATACTAGACCTGATGCAGAGACTGAATTGTAAGATTTTCAGGGTTAGAGGGAGTAATGTGCAAGTCCTGGCAATGTCAGCAGAAGCAAATAAGGCAGTGTATACAATGTGCCATTCAGCACATAAGTAATCAAATAGTTTCTTCAGCAGTGGTGGAGACCAAAACAGAAGTAAAATGACATGGAACATTTAGAGATACAAATACAAATAATGGAGGCTAATATTGTTCTCTGTCTTTGAGATGCATGAAAAGAAAACTTCCATCATGTTTCCCAGATTAACTCCAGATGCACTTGGGTTGTAATAATGTGATCACAAATGTTTTTCCGTTATTATTCCTCAAAGTTGCAAAGAGATGTTTTGTCTAGTGATGGGATTTCCAGCTCTTTTTAGAGAACCGGCTCTCTTATATTTTTGCTCTTTTTTTTCTCTATAAAATAGTTGTTGTTTTTTTGGTTTTTTGAATCATTCATCTTAGCAGTGGGATTTACATGAAAAGGGAAACAAATTAAGTTTGAGTGAAAATGTAAAATTTTTGCACTCTGATCAACTGACTCAGTGAATCAAATGACTCAAAACAACTGATTCACTTTGGTGAGTGACTCATTAACACTCGATTCAGTAAAAAGAATCAAATTTACCATCACTAC